TGAACTTCCGTCATTCATTTTTCACCTTAAGCTTGTCTGGTTGTACCCACTGTTAGCTATATCCATGCTTATCGGTTATTGTTAATGGTACTGAGGAGACAATACGAAATGCATGCATCTACCAGCCTTCGTCTTCTTTCCGTGCTTTTCAAAGGAGAGCATGTTTACATTGAGATCTAGTGTACAGAGGTTTCAGTATATACGTTTCGCATCGCAACTACTGTGTGCTTTTGGTTCGCGAAGACAAGAGAACGCATCAGCAGGAGCTAGCCAAACGATTCTGTTCGAACAAAAGCTTCTTACACAGTGAATGGGTAACGCTTCTGCCTGTGATCGCCAAAGTCATGGAAGCGGTGATAGCAGATGCGTTAATGGGATACTTGGAAAACTACGGCATAATTGCGCCAGAACAGCATGGGTTTCGTCAACTCTTCATACGGGAACAGGAGTCGATGTGCATTCTTGGACTTTTCGAAAGCCTTCGATCGCCTGGATCATCGAATCCTGCTCATTAAACTCCAACAGTACGGTATCGGAGACCCGTTGTTAGGATGGATCGGTAACTTTCTCTCTGAACGGCAGTTAGTAGTTAGAGTTCGATCATCCCATAGTAAGAGTTCAAATGTCGAACTTTCGGTTCACACCAATCAACCAATGCACTCATGGCATTCCTGTGCAGTAAAAAATGACAAAATAAGATTTTGTATGTGTTCCTTAATACGCGTCCCACAAAATTTATGCATTGCTGATCCACACTGACTCCAAAGCACTACAACAAAATACTGATGAATCTCAATGTTTCTAAAACTAGACCGCAAATAGGCAAGTTCAATACGTTTTAACCTTTCAGTGAACTATAAACCCCATCTAGCTCACACAGATTGTTGAAATGTCACCCCGTACAAATATTGGTTCTCTCAAATGGGGGCTCATTTCTCTTTTGGGAGTTAGCCAATTTATTTCTTTAATTAGTGAGGATCATTGAACCTATCCAACCTGCGTATCACACAGAGCAACAAAAAGATACCAGTTTGTTTTATCAATTAATGACTAGATTCACGAAGCCATCCGTACAGTTATTCATCGGTGAATTGCTAATCTAACGTTGGGAACTTACTACGTTAGTAGCAAGTTGTTGTAATTGAGGTTAATGGGAGCTTAGATCTATCAGATCAAAGACCTTCACTGCACCGGACAGGGTATTGACCAGATCTCAAGTCACATGAAACAGTCAAGATAGCAGACCATATAGGTTAATGTGAGATTATGTTGGACAGTCGGCGATTTGATGCATATGAATCACAGTGCACCATTGTGTGAGAGTGAAGTTCACGGTCAGCTGTGTAGGAGGACATTGTACGTCTAAGCCACCGGAACACCTGGTATAACGTCTTCCCGTTTGAAAACGCGTTCTCCAGACTCATACGAATAAGGTGCTGAGTTCATTTGTAAACGTCGGATAGGTTTATTAGTCCGCATAAGTCTCTGAGTGACTCCGTGACATGGCGCACGTTTCCTTCAGTTCACTAAGCCCCACGACCTTTGGTAGTTCAAAGGTGTCCAGCAATTTAGCGAACGGCAACTTGAAAGAAGAAGTGAATGTTGGTTCCATTCGTCGTTTGCGAAACTGATTAACGTGCCGTTTGAGAGACAATGATCCGATTTACACCTCGTACAGCGCAGTGCCTTTTCTTCTTCGTCCCACTGCAGGTTGCCAGGTTTGATGGTTCGGCCTTGTATCAAATGCGTACACTGGCTCCCCTGATAGAAAAGTTCCGCCCACCCCCGGCGCAAGTGGCCGTTGCGATATCTTAGGGCGCATTGCATCAATTGTAAGACGTATCTCATGGTCAAAACTGGCTTCCGCTGGGGATCTGCCGCCTGGTACAGCGGGGTTAGGCGTAGCCCGATAAGTTAATAGGAACATTTGTGTGACCTACTGTGTCAGTCCTACCCCCTGCAGTTTTAGAATTATACGCTTGAAGGTATCAATAAATTTTTTGGTTGCTCATTGGATTGGAGATGCCCAAGAGGCGACCGACAGTGCTTGATACCGAGATACTGGCAGAAAAACCAAAATCGTCGGATATAAATTGCGAATCGTTATCGGAAATCACGGTTTTTGGTGAACAGAACTGCGCAAATAACTTGTATTTTTCCTACTGTGCTGCTGTCGTATTGTGCTCAGCAGGTATACATCAGGCCCCTTAGTATACGCATCAATCACAATGTAAACTACTGGCCATGCAAGGGACCAGAAAAGTGAACGTGGATTCTATCCCAAGACTTAGAGACTAGCATCCAGCTTTGAAGGATTTTGCTTAGAAGTTTCGCTGCTGATACACAACTGCTACATGTGGCGACACAATCTTGGATAGCGTAGTCAATAAATGACCAGTATACGAAGCTTCTGGCTAAAGCTTTCATCAGTGATATTCAGGGGTGATATAGGTGCATACATCTTAGTACCCTTACCTGCAGGGAATTCGGAACAACCATACGCCCACCGAACTTAACACAATCATCAACCAGTTCTAACTAGTCACCTCGACAATAAAGTTGTTTAAGGTGTGTCAGTAATCCGGTCTGACCACTTTATCTTTAATAACTAGATAACGTTTTATAAAAAAGGGTCGAGTTTGGTGTGCTCCTGAATGTCCGCAGAAGTAAGCGGGAGAGCTCTGATTGATTTGCACAGAAGTTGTTGCAAGTCCGATTCTAGCGCGACCACCTCGTCTCCTTCTATGCTCCGCTGTTTTACGATAAGTTAAGAGAGTGCATCGGCGTAGTTGAAATCTGCCGTAGACACAAGAGCTATTAAAAATTATATCCGAGCCACAGTGTCACCCGGCTTTGGAGACGATTCACCGTGTACATTGATATACCCTTCTTTGAACCGAACATGGGTTATAATGGTTTATGGTCAATCTCCAATACGCTTTCTCTACTGCAATATCCGATGAAACTTTTGACAGCAATAGCCAAAGTTAGTGCTACTTTCTCGAGCTATGAGTACTTTCTTTCAGACTTCGATGAGGCGCTTAATGCGTAGGCAACTGATCTCATGGTGCTAGAGTCGAACCGTTAACAGAGGACTGCTCCAACACCATAACTAGAAGCATCTGCGGAGACAATGATATCTGCTTTAGGGTCATAATGTGCCAGCATTAAGTCAGGTACAAGAGCTTTTTTAATAACCCTAACGCTTTCTCACATTCAGATGAGCAAATCCTTGGTCGATTCTTACTCAGCAACGCATTCATTGGCTCGCGAAGTCGATGCATGTCAGGAATAAATGCACTTTAATAACTAAGTACGCTCAGGAGGGATTGTAGAGTAAGTATATCGTGTGGTGCAGGTAATTCCTCGATGATGCGCATTTGTTCATTTACAGGTCTTCGCCGGTCACGAGCAACAATACAACCAAGTTGTAAAATGGCGCCGTGCGTCACTATCAACCACTAATTGAAGATAGGCATCCGAGAGATCAAGCTTTGTGAAAATGCGATTGCCGTTTAGTCTGGCTAAAAGATCCTCCAGTAGTGGCAGCAGTTAATAATGGAGACAGCTTTGCGTTCAGGCCGGTTGAATAATCCTCACTTGCGAATTGAAAGAAATCCTTCCTGTGTAGTTGCATAAACCACATTAGACTCCCATTTATATCTGCGTTGTTGAAACCGATTTTATTGGTCCCCGGGATGAGAACATCGTGTGGTTGATCAGCAGTGTCTTTCTTGTTAGCTTTTCTTATGGCAGACGATATACTGGTAATTGATGAACGGACAGTGTCGGGAAAATGCCACTCACCGCTATTCCAACAAACACGTGGTGCTTTCTGTCGTGCGGTGTTATAGACATCTGTAGATGTTCGGGCAGAAATTGTGTCAACCATCGCGATCTCTGACATTAGCTGTCTCAACTGCAATATTTGTGAGTCACTTTTTAAGTTGACCAGACGTTTACACTGCTGTGACGTTCTTAATGGTGAAATGTAGAGAGGAGTCGTATTTGGATAACAGACTTGTTCTGATTTCTGCGTCAGTTGCAGAGGTCAAGCCAGATAGAAAATTGAGTAACAAACTCATCTTCCGTAAGTTGTTCCAGTTTGAAACGTTCACATGAATGGTTCACTCTGCCCACGTATGAAACACAGTTCTCCGATTGGTTCCTAATCAGCTTCAAACACCGTTAACAATTGTTGAAAATTGAGGACCTTACATCATAAATGGATGTGAGAACATTTACAGTCTTCTGGAAGTTGCACTCGCGGGAATGTTTCGGTAGAATGCAATTACAGCACTGGTGGGGTTTATTTGCGACAAGTTTCCCTAGCAACAACCATACTTTGGCCGCATCATCAAGCATGATCGCGTCAACCAGAAAGATGTCTTTATACCGCTTGTAGCAGGTTGCGAATGGAGTGCCGTTCTCTACGTCATATTGGAACTGCTGCATTCAATTTGCCAACGCTTCAGCTGAAGTGGACTCGGTTTTCACTGTGGTGGGCGTTAGAGTTAGGGTTGACAGTTTCTCAGTGAGTGTAGAAATAACCATGTTCATCTTTGTTCTTGTTGGAACATAACCAGCTGTGGCTGCTTGATTTAATCATGCTGCTGTTGTAGTAAATGGGTTAAGTGTGAATGATCAGCCATCGCCATCGCCTGTGTAATAATCGCGGTTACTGAGGACTTAGAGCCGTCAGAACCAAGGTCTTCACCGCACCGGACCAGTTCCCAAGTCCAGTTCTCATTTCGCATGAAAAACACAAGACAGCCGATCACATAGGTTAAGTTGAGAGTATGTTGGACAGGTGGCGGCCTGATGCATATGAAACACTGCGGACCATTAGGTGAGAATGAAGTTCACGGTCAGCTGTGTGGGACGACACTGTACTTCTACCGCACCGGATCGCCTGGTGTAACATTGGTGCACTTTATTTATCTAATGTGTATTACACCTTTTTGACCTGCAGTTTTTCAGCGCATCACTGCTTTTTGCAGGTTAGTTCCAGCAAAGTTGTTTCGGCAGTGGAAAAGGCAATTCATTGTGGGGACACCATTTTGGACGGAGGAGACACACAATGAACAACAAACTGAAGGGGACGCTATGATTCCAAAATCAGTTGAGGCCACAATGGACCACGAAGAGCTCGATGAACTTGAATTTACAGATTATCGGGTAGGGTAAATCGGTTAGCTGTTATATACTATCAGCTTCGGTTAATGTTACAAATGAAATACTCGAGAAAAGATTGACGAAATAGGCTTGCTTAGCGTACATAGATAAGTTTGTTATCAGGTATGCATTTAGCTTACAACTACAGTGTCATCCCTGAGCACGTGCTGACCACAGAAGATATGACAACTGACACTCAGTATTTCCTGTTTATCCGGAACTCTTCATTGAGATTTATGTAGTGGAACTGCAATGGTGCTATTTTACTCACTACTATAAATTTCTCACTACGTCGGCTACATAACCTGCTGTTTGAGTTTTGTATTGCAACTGATCACCGCTAACAAGTCATCGTTTGTCCTGATTTACCAGACTCTTTCAGGTGACTGGGACTTGACCAAGTTGGGTGTGATTGAGACCAAACCTCTGCCGGACGATCCAGTGAATGGAAGCCATGGGAACCCAATAGAATGGAAAGATTCGGAAACGTTGTCCGCCGACTGCGCATTTCCTTGCTTTGATCCAAAGGAACCCGAAGATCCGAACCCCGTGCTCCAATGGGTGATTCAACGACTCCACAATATGGTGTACCAGCGTCCGGTTAGTGCTTATATTCGTAACAACAACTTGGTGTCCTATTTGTTGAATATTGTGCAGTCGACTTCTAACAGCTTGCTGTTTCCAGTCTCTGAATGTAAAGATTATTTTAAAAGCTTACTAGTGCATGGAAATTCCATGTATATCTGTTATGTGATCAAGATAACTGCCAGTTCTCGGGGCCAATTGAATCTCGGCACATCACTGAAAATGGTTAACTAAACGGACCTCGCCGATATCAGCTGACACAGCGTAATCAGTTCATACAAACTGTTTCCGCTGTCTACTAGGTAACAAGACATTTGCTTACTGTCATTCGAGCTTTGTTTAAGCTACTTCGGACGTTATCATTTGATGACACGTTTCGACAACTTGAATGAATGAATGATGCCACACTTGTCATTGCATTTGCTATTTTCCAATCTTAATACTTTCGAGAAGTTCTGCCAACGCGGCTGTGCTTATACTGCTGATCAAGGGCGAAGTTGTATTACCTTCACTTTGGATTTTGTACTCATAATGGTGCACTGCTGTGCATCACGAATTGGCACTGCTGCGCATCACGAATTCGCACGAATCACCTATAGCTTGACTGCCATCGGAAAGACAACGCGTTAAAATCTACAACGCGGTGTGGCCTTATCTCGGAACCACCAAGCATTCTTTAAAAGACAGTGTTTCTGGCTAGCGGCCTTCGGCTGGTCCTTTCTTGGCGGTGTCAACATAAATTTTACTTTCATGCAGGATTTTCCCTTCACAAATTTCAAAATTGTAAGAAAACGTTTTGACAAGATTCAATGAATTCAGGTATTCCGAGTGTTCTCATCAGCTGTTTACACACATTGGTGAAATTTTCGCGTTGCGTACAAAAGTGAAGCAAAATACAAGGTTATTCAGTTTAATGGAAAACGATCAATAACCTCACCAAGGTAGAGCGAGGCTGGCTGTAAGTTCAGTATGCTTGAAAAAATTGGGTTTAATCCGCTGAATAGCTGAGACTTCGGCAAACAGAAGCAAGTTAGCAGTGCTCTATAGGTTAATTACTTTAAAAACTCACGGGGACCTGTACAATAGATACCTCGTCGACGCATTCATTGTGGTTGATAGCCCTCAACAGGTAGAATGTTTAATTGAAGTTCTAAATAAATGCCATCCTGATATCAAATTTACAATGGAAAGCGAGGTGGACAATAACTTCTAGTTCCTACTTGTTCACGTGAAGAGGAATGGAGAAGGCACACTTACTCGATCTATGTATCGGAAGCCTACTTGGACAGGGCAATAGATGAACTTCAACAGTTTCTGCCCTAGAAATTATAAACGAGCGTTGGTCCGCTCAGCCCTCGCAATAGCACCTAAAACTTGCTCCGAAGATACGATCGACATTGAACTAGAACTCGTGTCATCAACATTACCCAACAGTTGGTCACTAGAATTTAGGTGATAAGTGACCTCAGATGAGATGGTCACAATGTGTACAAGGAGTCTTCTAATTAATTTCGTACAAATTATCTTATCTGTTATTGAAAGCCCTGGTTGTAATCAGTTTGCTTCTTACTGCTATTAGCTTGTAGACACAGTAGATGAGCAAGGTAGCTTGAAATTATGCGGCTCACTAGAACCAGTATTTGGGGTCGGTATAGTCCTCACGAAAGCATGATAGATCTTGTAATAAGTGTTAAGGTAGATAACAGGTCGAAAATAATATTTTATTCCTGGCACACCTAATTTGGCTTGGTCAGATAAGTACTTCCCTGTATGGAACTTTGATTACACATGAATCAGGAGAATGAATTATTAGACCAACTAATGAATTTTTGTAGGACAGCAGTGACACTCAATTTTGACTGAAGTGAATTGATGTCGACTGGCATTCAACAATATTCGCAAGTAAGTCCTCCTTAAATAGCCAGCTGATTGTGAACCAAGTACTGAGTCAGATAAATTATATTTCTCCCTTCGAGTGGCACAGCCTTGGAACACCCTCCCGGAACATGTAATTAATGCACCAACCCTACCCGTTTTCAAAAAACGCCTTGACGATACCCTGTCACATTTACACTACGTGCTATAGCTCATGATCACCAGATGCTGGCACTAATCACAACAGATAGGGGATAGTGCCATAACCCTACTCGAGAATGAGTCATTCCAAACTCCTTACACGAAATTTGATAAACGCTACTACTACAGAAACTGGATTACTGTATCCTGTCGACCCAAGATTGTTGCACACGAGTAAGCGTTGTCATTGCTATCTTTTTATTTTTCTCGCCCATGATGTGAAAAATAACCACTCCGCTGTTGCTTTGTGTGCGTACATTCTCATTTCAAATCCCTCTATACGACAGTGCAGTTACATCTGTAAGCGCCCGAACTGAAGACTCCATTATCCCTTCGCTATCTTTGTTATCACGCTATACACCCTACGGGACATGTCAAGCACCTGCTTTTTTACCCGTTATAAATCATTGTTCATTTTTCATTGTCCTACGTCTGTCTTGTTGTTATGGAATAATCAGACAGTTTGATCACGTCGTGTGCAGTAAACATTTTTAAAGACATTTTCGGAATTCGTGTTCAAGAGTGCAGGCAAATATTCCGGCCGACGACTTTTCTAGATTCAAGTTTTCCCGTTAAAGATAATAGTTGCAGATCTGCTGGCTCTAATCCTTGCATGTGTTGCAAACGGCTGATTGCTCCATGTCATTTTGAAGTTGGGAAGGTACGTAGTTCTGTTCAAGCCCTTGAAAACCACATGCCTAGGTTGTGCTTCATGCCTGACCCTATTACATCGTTCATAATCTATCCGAAATGCAGACTTACCTCGAAGGCGTTTTGTGCATGCTCTCTGTAAATGTTCCAATGTAAGGCGATCGCACTTTTAGCTACTGTTGATCAATGAACAACTTTCGAAAGTGGGTCTAGCAAACGCAAATACAATGTAGTCTTAACTGTTGCAGCTAATAAGTCCTGGATAACCAACCATCCAATGTTCCAATTTTCCTTCGCGGTAACTTAACCTACTTGTTCACAAAATTAAGTGAACTCGAATATCGCAAACCCAGGACCCGTGTCGTACCACATATATTGTTTTATCGTTAAAATAAGGCCGTAATGAGTTAAATCACACCTACGGAGTATTGCACCAGCTTTTTCTGCGCAGAAAGATATTTTCCATTTTTACCGCCCGGCTCCAAGCGCATGGATTTCGAGTAAGGATTGCTCTTGTCTGGTGGGAACAACGTATTTGTAACGGTGAATTCAGACGTCATGTATTAGTGAAAGAGAGTATTCCCTTCAACAAGCTGAATTTTTTGCCTCAGTTAACATGGCTTCACTACGTTCTGCGTATGTCAGCCGAGTATTTGTCCAAATGCGCCATTTTCGCTCGTTCAGCAGTTAACTGGAAGGAACCAAGCGGTTGTCAGCCGTCCACTGCCGTTGGATCCACACGTCTACCTGGGTAGGGTGTTAAGGTCGTAGTTTTCAGATCGCTGGAAACAATTTAGCATAAGGCGCTCAATTGAAACCAGTGGTAGATCTGTGTACATAAAAGTTTATATCCAGGTGCTTAGTGTTCATTGGTCGAAGATAAACAAAAGAAATAGTGGTGCGTGCAAAATAACAAAAATGTTCGATTTTACTTTGATTGAGGCACAGCAGCTGAAATATCTTGCTTCCCTTCAGCTAATGTGCCATGAGTATGATGTGCTTGAAGCTGTCTTCTTCATGTGATCGAAAAGGTTCTTTTGCGATGTACTGTTTCTACTACTACTACTACTACTACTACTACTACTACTACTACTACTATTACTACTACTACTACTACTACGAATACTAATATCACTACTAATACTATTGTATGTCCTAGGGTTTAGGAAACATGCCCATTTCGGCAGGATCAAATTTAGATCAGCGTGATGGTGTTTTATTTGATTGACACCAATGGTGAGTGCATCATTCTGACCCGATCTCAGCTAAGATTTCACGTATATATTCCAGTTTTCTACCTCATTCCTCACCTCTTTTAATCACTCTCATCATGACTAAGTAAAGTGTTGTAACCAAATCCATCGCCGATTGGATTTTTGTTGGTGTTTAAACAGCTCACTCCCTTGAACAACTGAACCAATTACTAAAACATTAAAAGCCTAAGCTTCTCAATCGAATTTTAATTATTAGCACTCATTCTTTAGCACATTTGATAATACACTACATACCTGTGCTAAATTTATTTCAAACCTTTACATCACATCTATTATACAGCCCACGCCTGCGGCACCAAGTCTCCCCGAAGCGGCAGTTCGCATGGCCATAGTAGGAAAACCTTTGAGTGGGAAGTCCACCGTTGCGGCTGAACTTGCAAGGAGTAAGTTCGTGCGTTTTTGTATATTAGAGTTCTCTCTTCTAATAAATAAAGAAATAAACGTTTTATTCCTAGACAGTGCCAGGCACAGACCAATTGAATGGTCTTGTCAATATTTACTACGGGATCGCATAATATAGTTAATTTTACTTGTTTTGTACAATGCTTACCATATGGGTTTTTTAAGTGATTAGCATTTTGAAAGTAATAGAGAGATTACGAAACTAAGAACAATAATAATGTAGATTTCACCGAAATTTCAAGTAAAGTAAGGCGACTAGCCATGGAACTGTCTCCAGGAGACTTGATTCCATGCAAGATATTCCCTCGATGGGTTTCACCCGCACTTCCATGCTCCAACTCGTTCTGTGCCGGTGTGGCAAAATAGTAAATAGGCCATCAGATAGGTACCAAATGTTTTATTTCATGTTTTATGCACGCACTATAGACGATGAAGCCTCAGTCCTTTCCGTCATACGGATTAGTCAATCATCGCATGTTTTGTTTTCAGCCAGCAAGTCAGTAGCAATATGATTTCCATGGGTATAATATTTTTAGTTTGGAAGCCATAATCTGTCACCACAAGGGATCAGCTCACACATGGGCAACAATAAAACAGAGAAGAATATAAACTATAATGAATTAAAATAACATAATAGTGAATACAATCGCTTGTCGATACACCAACCAAACTTTGGTGGAAAACCTTAGGCAGTGACGACGACGGAACATAGACATCAGCTTGAAAGGTGTAGTGCATATTGGAACCAGTGCTTCAAAGAAAATAGAAATGGAAAATTCCTATTCAATCATCAATAACAAGGGACCGAAGGTAAACAATTGTTTTCGATGAATTCATCGTCACCTCTTTACAATCATATGGGTACAAGAGCAATGGGAGTAACAGTGGTTCCGAGCAGTCCAAATGCAATTGGATCACATGCCAACCGGGGACATAAACCAGCAATAAACTTAAACAACAAGCGCAAAATAGGGCAAAGATGTAGTCAACTGATTGCTTCTGGCCTCCTAATCGTTCAACTTATCTGGTCAGGGTAACTTAACAGCTTCGATCAGTTTCTTTTGTGCACACAAAAGCAGTTGATACAACCGAATACTGATCGCCTCAGCTGTAGCGAGGGCGCGGAGGTGCAGGCCTTTCGATTGGAGTGGCGGAACCTTGTAGAGTGTTCGAAAATCGCGGATTGCAATGACTTCATGCTCACTATCAACTAGATGAGCCATAATAGAGCTAGTTATAGCCTCGATACTGCCTCGAAGCAACCAGCGTGGAAGGTGCGCTTTGACAAGTGCTGCGCCTTTCGACCGAATTAGGTAAAGCCACAGGCGCACTCGTACTGATAAATGACCATAGAAGCGGTCAGCATCGGGAACTTGTCTTGTCTGATCGGCCACAATAAATATGTCATCCATATAGGGATGATAACAACCAAAGGTGCTGATCTCCGCATGTAGTTTGGTGTTCTCTAATTTTGCCATGAAGGAATCAGCAAGCAACGGACCTAGTGGCGGTCCCATAGCTACACCATCTTTTTGACGGTAGTAAGTGCCATTGAATAGGAACTGTATGTTCCAGGTGCAACGCAAAAGGAGGTTTTTCAAATCACGCAGTTGTATGCCTATCATTGTCTGTGTTTCGTTGATGTAGGTACAGATGTAGTCAATTGTCTCGAAAAGTGGGACATTGGTGAAAAAGCGAGACAACATTTAAGGAAAACATTATTTTCTTACCGATGTTGTCTCGCTTTTGAAACAGTCAGGTGAATATCAATCATTTTGTAAATTGCGGATAGGTAGCACAGTTTCTAATACTCGATGGAAGTTTGTTCCATATTAACGCATATTTTTCGAAGGAAAAATTTGAGCGGAGGTTGGTGCGAGACTTTTGTATTTGCAATATGTTTTCGCTGTTTCTTAGTTCATAGCGCATCCAGATCTGAAACTCAAACTGTTGCTAAGAAGTGAAGCTTAATCCGAATAGTAAGCAGTATAGAAGGCACGGATTAACTTTGAATCTGCGTAGCCATAGCGGCTTCAGTTTTAGAACCTTACAGCACTAATGGTTTGTCATACTATTAGGCATGTTCAAAAACCTCTTTGTGAATGATCGTTGTGTGTTGTTTATGTAACTTAGCTCCAAAATATTCTAGCAAACAGACTTGCAAGCTAAAAGCTATACATAGCAACTATCACAGTGGAACCTGGTTGCACAGGCATTCACGTCTGAAGCCAACTCGTACTGTTTTATCGCATTTCAGCGACTTACAAAAAGCAGGTACCTTAAAACATATAACCCCATTGGTAATTATTACAAGTACCAAGGATCTGCAGCAGCCACCAAAAGATGCGCAACGGAGGTTTTCGTTTAACTAGCACTAGTTTGCTGTTTCATTTAGTTGATGGTATAGTATTATTTTTAGGAAGATAACTGGAAGGCAAAACGATTCAGTTAGTTGTGAATTTAACTGAACTGCATATATATATCTATCCACACATAACATTCTTTGTTTAAAATTATCGTCTCGAGGCTTTAGACTTTTGAGCATAAAGTAAGATTCGTTGAGAAGAGGTACAGCAAAATTGAATACTGTGAGAGTAAAACGTCCGTTGTATTCTTTAAACACCATGAAAAATCAAAACATCCTTAGCAGTAATTTTCAGGATGGCTGATACATACGGAAGGAAATTTTATAACTGAAGTCTCCAACGAAGAAGTCACTAGGATAACCAGTTTAAATTCGTTTGCTGGGACCAGTAAACTCCGTGGGCTTAGGTGGACAGCCACCACCCATGCGGGAAAGCACTAGACTGCCTTTCTCTCTATTGGGACTCGCAAGTAGCTCGCGACTGCCGAATTCTACCGAATTCGAACCCAGGACCTAGCTCTGATGAACCAGAGTTATGACAATGCGTCATGGGCAACGGCGGCTTATCGTCATGACGGATTTCTAACTGCGACGTGTCGCTTAGCATCTTTCATTGTCATGAATATCATGAAAGTAGAGAAAATAGAGTTAACCTCCGGAGCAGAAGCGTCCTTTGCAAGTTGCCGACAACGAGTTGGCATGTAAGCTGCTAAGATGAGTATTGATTATAGGTGGGGAGCAGTCGGAGTTATCTGTAGTTATTAGAAGAGTGGGCTAGCCATCTCTTCAGTGAAGGAGCAGCACTATAGCGTACTTTGATTTCAGTCACGGCTGTTCCCTCTCCTCAACCGTGACTCAGTGTCATAAGTCGCTAGCTGATAAAAGTAAGGTAGTGGGTTCGAATCAGACAGTATTTGAAGGGTGCTTGCTATTGACATTCCACTTTGGTGGAACTGCCGTCTGGCTCCTTTCTGGATATGTGCTGACTGTCTGACTGCGTTCATCTGTAAGCAAACTTCGGAAAACTACCTAAGTATTCTTAAGCCATTTGCTCCTTGAAAGTTGTGGGGCAATCAGCTAGCATAATATTTTCAATCGGCTCTCAGTGAGGTAGATTAATTTGGATGCCAGAAATAAGCGTAGTGGTCTTATTGCAAACTTCCTCCGCCTAAAGTACGTTGCAGCGGGGTGTCCACACTCTGTCATTAAGTTGCATAGATTCGAAGGTCAGAACGTACCGAGCTGGTTTGGAGATATCCAATCATTTAGACCATCGTTCAGTCGGGTACAATCGTATTATTTTTTACTCCAGCGCAAAATATATGCAATTACAGATTCGTAAGTGTATATACTATTATGCTGTCAAAAGCTATAAGCCACATTACGTTTTTCGCATAGATCAAAATATGACAGTCATCGATCCTCTGCAACTTATACAAGTAGCTATGGACGCAATGGAATCTGATGACCTTGACACAAATGAAAGAGAGGATACAAAAGAAGAACACAAAATATCGGGGGTACAGGTAATTTACAATTGCAACGCGTTTAAAGTAGTGTTTTACTTTGGTACCTTCTGCGACGTGGTTTAACAATTTAAAGCTTTACGCAAACCATTAAAACAATGTAGAGGAATTTGTTTTGCTTGTTGTAACATTTCAAAGTTCTCGTTCTTATGCTTTCCTTAATATCCCGAGGATTCGTTACAGGCTCTGGGTCGAAAGATAAAAGAAGTTCTCCAGTCAGGGCAAAAGGTTACCGATGAGCTGCTTTCAGTTTTGGTTTTCGAGCGTATACGGTGAGCACTGCTTAACATGTTGGTTTTTACCTTGTTTAGTTCGTGCGTTACTAAGGTTTAAAATGCGAGAGTGAGATGGCGTCATTTGAGCACCATTTCATAGCATTGATAAATTCGTGAAAGGAATAAATGACGAGTCGTCGTTATACAGTGAAACAAGACTTCCGACTAAGAAAAGCAATATATCCACATAAAGTAAACACTGCGTTTGAAGACATTGGCTTAAGTGGTACCCTGCTCAATGTGTTGTATGGGTCTCAGAATACTTTGAAGCCTTACAGGTTGATATTTACACGTTAACACATTTCACTATAACATACAGCCCCAATAGGTAAAGCAGGAAAAATGGTCAATAGCAACGTTGCTATAGATGAGAAGGAAGATGTAGTGTGGTGGCAATGGTAGGCCGATGATGTTTAGATATCCGAAGAAATGTACAATCAGTATACACTTATCTGTTAACATTTTGATTGTATGCGTTATCGAGCTGATATATATGGATCATTCAGTCTCAAAAATAGAAAGGTACTCGTTTCGACATTTGTTTAGTGCTACTTAACTGAACCATATTTTAGCGAAGGATTGAACTGTTTCTCACTACTAGCTAATACACGGAATTACGACGATTTTCCACCTGCGTAGATGGATATGTTTGACGTCACGAAGCTTGAGCCGACCAGTTCCCAGAAAGTGAAATCAGGGAAGACTCAGTTGCATTTTAATATAGTGAAAAATTTACTGACTAATGGTCAAGTGATGAAAGACCACGGCCGATTTTGGGTTCATATTGTTTGTAGAATTGCTCATCGGTAGGTGTAAGTTTGGCGAAATAACTTCTCATTCAGGATTCCATTTACTGCAAATCTCGATCATGTAAAAGGAATTATAATTGGCTCCTTATTCTGCTCATTTTAACAAGTAGCGTTTTCTGATGCTGCCGTGCAGACTTATTTAATTCAACTGCCATAATCATATCAGGCTTCAAGTAGTTACAAATATGATAACGCCTTGCATATCAAGCTGTCGCCATCGGGTCTCAGTGAAAATTATCTTTACCACCATGCTAAAGGTAGCAGTCTCTATATGTGGCACTATTAGTCACTATGGCACTGGGCATGTGTTATCCTAGAATTCTTCTAACCTGGTTGGAACCTTTGAACCTTTTAAATAATACGTATAAAAAGCTGGAGCTTTACATGACCTATACGGTAAAAACGTTCGGGTTAGGTCCGATGAAAGTCCAAGCAACCTTATAGCGGGTTGGGCTCGCCTGTTAGCCGTATCTTTAACAGGCTTATTCAGCATCTAAACAGCATGCACGCCGGTTAAAAGCGTAGTACTCCATCACACCCCCCGAAACAGCTATGGAAAGTAATTAGGTTGAAGAAAACGGAAGAAGAAAACCTCCATCGAGTATAAGGTAGTTATCTAAGGGAATATCGCGGTGTAACTCGGCCAGATGACAGTCCAGACGGGTCTTAAAATTCACCAAATGACGCACATAGACAAATACTCACTCACCTGTTCGTTTGTCAGCTGTTATCCTACCACGGCAGAGCCAATGTGACGAACGTGTGCATTTTTACACATAGGGTGGGGCCCAATTGTTTGATGGCCATCGCTTCGCCATAGCGCAAAACGCGGGTGTTCCTTTGACGCGAAGATCACCAGGAATGTTCGCATGGTCCCACTTGTGTCAGTCTGTCAGCAGGTGTCGGCCGATTTACGAGGCTGGAACTTTATAAGGCAAATCCTTAGCGCTTGGTATTCTTTTATTACAGAAAGCTGTTGCACTTTAAAAAATACAGGTGTTTCTTAGCTTAACATCTACGGCAAATATTCTCCCAACGATGGTTCACCTAAAGCAGCGGTGCTTATGCCATATAGCTTCATAATGGTCTGCTCGGATTCCTGCTGGTCAAGTTGCGCTCAGTGGCCTGAAAGACATCTTAGGGGTGGTGATCGCGTTTAGTGACTTTCTAGTGAGTAACCATTGTCAACTTCTCACAGGCACTCACTATGGAGCCTAACGGCCGGATGCTGAAAACAACGCTAAACTTTTTGTCGAGGCTGCAACCGACCCAACGTAAACTGGTTGTTTTCTGCCCTCAGGGACACTGCGGGGATTGCTGATATAGTCACCAGTAATTATTTCAATGTCTGACCCATCAAGTTAGAGGGATATAGAAAAGAACTACTTCCCTAAATCGTACGTTTATGATAGGGATCCTTTTCGCACATATGTTTATTGTTAATCCACAACCGGCTTGTGGTCACAACACGACACTCGGCAACTTGATAGTTGCAATAGTTAAGTTATCGAGTACCTGAATGTTGATGTTCAGTTTGACCCCAAACCACTTGGTATGCACACAGACTTCTAAACACAAGTGCATAATAAATGGCAACAAACAGTTAACCAACGTTTTTGGCTGTGAACAAACCGAGCCAAAATAGTATGTGTTGGACACGAGCCTTGTACTCGAAACGATAAATAGTGAGCTTAAACTCCGGATCAGATAAGGATTCTGTTTCAATTCAGCTCAACATTCGGCTTTCCAAATACACAAGCGTGGATTTACAGCGCAATCATCTTGCCAATTGATAAGTATATTGGCCACAGACCACTAGGTTCCAGTTCAAAATCATAAGCTAGCCAGCTAAACTTGTGCATAAGGCAAAGCAATGCAAAAATGACAGGGGAGCCTGTCAATTGCTTTTGCCATCAGCTGCCCCTGCTACTGAACGGTAGATGGATTAGGCCAGAAACTTATCAAACCTTCCTTCTGGTGTGCCTTGCAGAGTATAACTCAAACCAACTCTTCTGTTAGCCGTTAGATACAAAAGATAGCTCATATTTGAGCGAAACCTATAAATGTTCCGGCATGATAGGAGTATCTCCGTTTAGTTCAGTGATGGAGTCGACTGTTTACGAGCCTTACCGCCCAAACAGTTGCCAGCTTAGTTTATGCTAACCTCATCCAATAAACGCTGAGATTTAGAACCTTAAATAATAAAACATATACTGTGACCTAGCTGTCTCAGTTCCTTTCATGCTCTAACGTAGGGGTTAGAATTATTTTTTCTAAGCTACGACACGCACACATGCCTTGTTAATACATTCTCGTGAGTTGGTAATAACCATGGATGCATTGTATTTGCCTATCAGGTTTCAATATAGGAAACATCTATTTGAATAATCAGTTATTCCTTTCTAACAAAAAGATGAATTCTGCTTTTTCCCCGTTAATTCAAGATGGCCAATGGAGCATGACAAAACCTAAGATGTTCAAATTATCCTGTGCTACAAATGTATCTGCATTCTTTTTTGACACCGATACAACCGCTATAACCAATACTTTGCAGCCAGTTGTATTCAGGTGACTTTTGAGAATTTCTAATAGCAGCTTGCTAATGCGTAGCTAAAATACTGCCAGATTTATAGCATTCGAAATCGAAGTAAAGATGCACAGATGCCTTCCGTAATACTTTGTTTAAATCATGTAAACAAATGCCTTGCTGCTGGAGTATCCCGCGAAATAATAAGTGTCAACTGATTGAATATTACGGAAATGTCGAAGGAGCATTCCTACAGACGGTCAATGGTTCTCAAGAATTTACTGTTAGTTTAAATATACCGTATTTCTCTAGCAATATCTTCAAGTCAATGGAATCCAAATTAATTCATCAATGGACAACCGTAAGTTGGCTATGGCCGTTACGTTCATCAAAATATTGTATTTCCCCATCTTGGAGTGGGGGACAAATACAATAGGCAAAGATGGAAGGTATTATAAACACGCAGACATCAAGACAAGTGCTGATAACAACTACCAATATCATACCTATGTTGTCGTTACTTATCGGTAGTGTCCAGTGGAAGGAATTGAATTCACCTGATGGCTTTAACTCGGCGGAGCTTGAGGTCACCGGTCAGCTGAACATCAGCTGGGATCCTGAGATAATTGTACATTAGAAGAAATCTGGAAAATTTTTAGTATGAAAGGTCAAGCGTTGCGTTAAATTCACATATCAGATGTAATTGATCACATTGCAGTGGTAACTTGGGGCAACGCGTATTTTGCCCTATCCCTTGTTGTATTCAAGATTTAGGCTGGGCTGTTGCTGCGCATAACTTGGTCTACCGCTGTGGATTTCCAATGATATCATCAGGACGTCAGGTGGTCTAGCTGGGGTTTTGCATTGCAAGCGAAATCAGTATGTTAACTACAATCGCGTCCTACCCTGGCTTCACCAAAGCCACCAGCATGGAAGATTCTATCAAACATTCAAATGACATGTTCCATTTTAGCTCTTCCACTAAGTTGAACCTATCTGATGCAGTTATGCTAACATTAAAAGATAACACAAACCAAACTTTTTGCTGGAAATTTGGTTCAAAGTTGAAGTAGATTAGGTTGGCACATATAGTCTCGGCAGAATTAATTTAAACATAAGAAAGAAGCATTCATGGACACAGAATTAGACAACCGCATATTACATATAGGTATAATTTTATGAATAGATACAAACTTTGGTATTATTATTTGTCTCTGCACGGGAAACAGATCAGTGAGGACAATGGTCAGATATCTACAAGTGTCGAAGCAACCAAGGCTTAGCTTGACAACAACTTGTGGAGCCCAAAAAAGCCAACATTGACATAGACTCGTAAGATAGACTAACCAACCTTTACGGAGTTGCAATCTCTTTACTCAGTCCACAGTTTGATCTGGATGACAAGCACAGAGACCAAGTCTCATCTCCACAAGAGCTCATGCTTTGGTTAAAAACACAGAATAGGTGTAGGCAAAGCAGATGGTAACTGGGTGCCGCCCGCCCGAAAACACTGCAAAACGACCATATATTTCGATCTGTTTTGTTCTCTTCAGGTGGAGATAACAGGCCTCAAACCCTTGACCTTTGGAATAGCTGCCGAAATCATTACTCGTTTGACTACCTAGTCATGACAGGCAATGTTTGACACAACGATTAATTACTGATTGGAGGGCTATTATCTAGTAAATGTCGTGTACTTGGATTGCGACGCACAATCTCAATGTAGACCCCGATTCATAATGAAGTGAACCTTGGTCACTGCGATCACTGGAACTGTAGCCCAAGCAGATGGAAATCAGATGTCATCCGTCCGAAAACACTGTACAGCATGAGCATGTTAACGAGTTATTTACTGGTGCCAATAAGACACAGAGGTTTATGTACTACACGGCGTGATGAGAAAACACAGAGTACTTATCCGCCCCGGCAGATTATGAACCTCGGCACGCTGAAATATATCATTCGCGGCGACATGGTTAACGCATCTGACCTTAACCACGCTTGTAATGCGACAACGACATCATTTTGTGTAATTATTTTTTAACTTATCAAATTTTAGCACGCTTCCTGATGGCACAAATTGTGTACTTGATGGCTTTCCAACGAACTCGAAGCAAGCGAGATTGCTTCAACAGCTGCTGACGGTGGCAGATGCATTACCTCGGTTGACACAGTCGATTTTCAAACTTGACCACAACTCGGAAGAATCAGAAGGGTCAGAATTATCAACCTCAAGACGTGGATTGGATCTGATTGTTTATTTGGACATACCTGATGATGAGGTTCTAAAGCGGGCAGCTCAATTATCAGTTGCTGAGAGGAACCCCATAGAGGAAATGGAGCAGCTTACTCCAGACGCAGAAACCAACGGCTTATTATCAGAGCGTTTAATACTAGGCAATGTGGAAGAGCGCCTGGAGCATTCCCATCTCTTCTTGTCGGAACTGCAACAAATCTTCCCCACGGATGTATTACATCAGCTACAATCACCTTCGTTGTTTGTCGAAAAAGATGCAGCCAGTGAGAACAGCTTGCCGTCATTGTATTCACTCGTGGAAACACTAGTGTTAGAAACATTGGATGCATACGAAAAAGCTCGAGGTGGGTTGTTGGATATGAATCCTCCACCAAGTGATCAGCCAGACGAGGTTGAGACCACAGGAGATAATCTGCCAAATCGTGATGCCGGAGCTCTGTCCGCTTCGCCAAAGGAGCCTGATGTAAGTGAACCACAAAAGCTTGCCAAATTTCTTACCTCCCCAAGTTATATGACAAAGGGAGCTGTTTAGCTGCGAGTCACGTAATATGCACCACATGTGCGATGTTATGTTGCCAATCAACTGGAATAACATTCCATTTGTTCGGGGATAGGTGGATGGTTTTAAAAACTATCGAGATATCAGTGGAGTTGTGGTATGTAGTAAGCTGATACTGTAGTGGTCATTTTAATTTTAGTGAAAACAAGAATAGTAACTTGTGTTTTTAATTGCACGAGACACTTCGAAACCTCTGTACTGTCGCGGCGCGTTTACCGCCACCTTGCGGTCTTACCATACCCAAGTCCCTACAATGGATATGTTTTAACATGACGCAACGTTGTTTTCCAGTGAAGGACAAGAGCGAAATACGACAGGCGATCAATAATTTCAAGCACAATGCTTTTATGTATTAAAGTTTTGCTACCTTAGAAAAAAGGCGGAGAAAAAGTGGATGGAAAACAGCAACAGAAGTGCTTTTGCTAAGATATAACTGCGGTAGATATAATGTGAGCTTGGTTGAGTGAGGAGAGTTTCTAACTCAGAGTATAAAGCAGAAATGGGAGCTCAGTTAATATCGCATCATCAGTTTCCGCTATTTCCACATAAAAGCCTGAATTTAAGGAGGGGTGGTTAAGTGAAACATCTAAGCAGGAGGAAAAGATATTATTGGGTTAGTTTTTTGATTGGACTTGCGCCCAGTATCCTGTGTAAGGTTGATTGTTGGTTCCCTGAGCTGTACTTATGGTGTGCTCCTGCTGTTTTAGACTAAAATATATCAACCTTTTAGTATGATGTATGCTCAGTGAGTGACTTACAGTTGATACCACAACAAAAGTTTCTACGTTCATTTACACGAATCGACAAACTCACTCAAAAGCATTTGATTGATGTCTACCCTCACTTGTGTGCCAAACCACCACGACCAGGCACATGCACTTATATACCTAAGTCTCAGAGACACGCGCCTTACCTGTTTTGTAACAATGCTTATCCCATTGCACGAATGACGCGCTTTAACTGAATGATAATATTGCATAGGACGGCCATCGGTTCTTCGCCTCAAGGAGTAGTTGAAAGCCGCTTGATAGAGGTATTTCTTTTCTACCAGGCGTAAAAGAAGGATGGGGTAAGCTGCAATCCGACATTTCCTATCCCCTTTTCTCTAATTACTCTGGGTATAGAAGCAGCTGTGTTGTTGTGCTGGAAATCCAAATGTATTTGTTAGTACCGTTCCTAATTGCAAGTCAGAGTAAAAGTCAGTTGTTATGTTGTCGTCAGAATCCTTCTTACTTCCTCCTTGCGCCCTACCCCCGAATATGCTTTACCCGCGGTTTATACTCTTAAAAAGTCGAAGGTGTTCTGATAGAGAGGGTAATACGGTGGGGATCAAAATTCAACTCGGCAATCCAGGGTTTACCCTACACTCAGCTACTTCAAATGATGAACATGTTCTCCATGGGTGATCTGGTTCACACCAGATGCATTCTGCAAGGGCTGATGAGGAGTTAATTGAAGGACTTCTATCAACTCAGAGTTGATAGCTCGACACGGGGTCACTAACGGAAACTGTTTAAGTCATGGACGCTCTGAGTCCATTCCGTTGTCACCTTGTCCACACATGTGATGAATGACTGGAAGAATTTACCAGAACCAATCGTCAATGCAGAGTGAAGCAACTTTCAAACAATTACTGGACTCTTATCGGCTGAGTAAACTAGGATCGTGTTGTTTTCGCTGCGATCATGATGATCCCCTATGGAATAAACTAGAGCAAGAATCCGCGCTGTTCCTGCTGTAGACGGCAATTACAGGGGGTGATACTGGATCTCCTTTCTGCACTCTACCACTCTGATGAACATCAGTGAACTCCAAATTCCGATTCTACTTGTCATTATGATGTGTTAGTGCACAAATTTGGATGTGAACAAACAAAGAGCTGGTAAAACGTACTTATAATTTGGGCACGCTGGCGAGAAAAATGCTATGGTTTCTATTGATGAACAATAATCATGCTTTCTATGTATTGAAACATCCATATGTTCTGGACATTATTTTAGCTTTATATTCTTCAGGCCAATATACCTGTTAACGTGGAGGGTTTATCAAAAATGATTCCGACGTTTACAGTTACCACGGTTTATTAGTAATTTGTTAGAAATTTAAAGCAAAATTATGAAAGCTAAATTGTTTATGAAATTTGTAACGGGCATCAAGTTAAAAAATAGTTTTCATTTCTTTACGGAAACCTCGGACATCATTTGTACTTATAACATTAAGAATAAAATATACTTTTTCAGCTAAACGCCGTAACGGGGTTTCGCTGACGCGTGACGACCACCAGGCGCGCGTGGGCTGAGTATGGCGCGAAAACTCCTGCCCCTACGCGGATTCGAACCAGCGAACGTATGATAGTAATGCAGGCGTGCAAAGCACTCGCCACCAGCGGACACGTTGATAGGAATAATTAACATATGAATTATGCAAAACATTTACTTTAGGCTTGTTACTCGTCAGATGAACGCAAAGTTGTTCAGTGGATTGTAAAGAAGGGAGCCCAGGAGATTACCAGCTTTAACTATAGTTACCCAACTATAGTGTCATGTTTTCATGAGCTGGTTGGACCTTTTTCTGTTGAAGAACATTATGGTACCTTGAATCAAGCGCCACATACGAATGAGTGTATTCAAGGAAGCATGAATAAAAGAACCATACAAGTGCCATTTATTAGTGATTCTCGGGAAGGACCCTGAGGTAGCATGAGTTACCTTTAAGGTTGACAATTGATAATAAAATTAATGGGTACGCACCGCTTACATACTTCTGCCGTCGCGCATTTCCATCTGTGAGGTGGTCCCTCATATATCTACACCACCTACCATAACCGTTGACTGAAGCAATGGATGTGTGAAGTCTCACTCGTCCGGTTCGAGCACCCACTCGGACGAGTCGTGTTTCAGACTTCAACATAGGACATATTGAAAAGATAGCCTACGTGGGGTGCTTTATCATCAAACAGCGGAAGCATAGCACATAAGGTTTTTTTGTTCACTTAGAAAGCCTAGTATATAATACCTAACTATCTGTGTTCGTAGGGCCTCATGTGGTACCTACCCCAAGTAGGTGGCCTTAACGGATGAACATAGATGGAGAAGAACGTTTCAGACTATTGAATCTGTTCGCGTCATTTTCACCGTAAGCTTTAGCTATGTAAGTACCATAAACGGTCGTCATGGACCGCTTTACCAATTTAGTACGAAGAACGAAGATGGTCGACGTGACACATTCCTTCACTACAGGATCACCGCAATCTATCTTTCTATTTTGGTGCACTGGATCATGCTGTTTTCATGAAATGCGCTTTCAGACATGCGGACACTAAAACTCATAAATAGTATTTCTCAAGTTTAAATAAAATCTGAAGTCGACCATTTTGGTGCTAAATGTCAATATCTTGTATAAATTGGTGGCAACTTTGGAAGCTGCATCATATTATTCAACCGTAAGCTATTAGCTATGTAACAAAGTAGAAGCAGCTGAATATTAGCTTCATCAACCAATAAGCTTTCTTGTACACCGTAACGCTGTGTATTTCACAGCTAAGCAAAATAACTTACTGATTATGATCAGTTTCAATGTATGAATAACAGGTGTACAACTCAGAGCAAGAAGTTGATCACTGAAAACATCGGAACCATTAAACACTATATTCCTCATCAATTCCCGAAAGGTCAAAAGATTGAATGTGAATATAAATTTAGATCTGTGCAACTTCCTCGTATTATAATCACAAAGGTAATGAAAGTATATGCTAGCTGCAGGTGCTTTAATCGTTCCTCAGTTTATTAGGTAGCCTTTTAAAATATCTGAAAAAATTAGCACTAGGCACACAAATGTCGGACCTCATTAACATTATGCAATCGTTCTCCGAATCGAATGGTAGCGAAAAGTAAACTGACAGCTTTTTACATGTACACGTAATAATGATTTGACTTGTTGCCGTTAAAATCTTCTCACTAGACGCGATTCCGAAAATAGGCACTTTACTGCTCCACAAATTTTCGAGCCCAAGCGAAAGAAATATCAGAACGCCAGTGATCATGATAAATTAACGTGTTAACTGGGGTCAACAAAACGCTATACAACTGCAGCAATACTTGGCTGTATTTATAGGTCTCTTACTGACCTTCGACTATGGGAATAGTAAGGTCAACCGCTAAGGTTAGTTGTTCCATGTATATTTGGCCGATCTTCAGGAGGTTATAAGTCACCTGAAGGCACTGGAATATTCCAGCATTTTCGAAATCAATGCTATAATCGATAACATGTGACGAATCGCTAAAATCGTAGAATTTTCCGCGGAATTCTTACATTCTCCTGGCCACCTCCCCTACTGAGATGGCGTCCGCGATATATGATAAAAGTCTGGGATTAATTTGCAGTCTTCGGGACGGTGTTCTTTGCCTGTCGGTCCATCTCCTGGACTGGAGTACCCGCGAACTGGGTTCCGATGTCAGTGGTCTGGATTCCTTGTTCGACTGTGAGCAGTCGTCTACGGGTACTTTTGGCAAATCAAAACTTTCCACTAGTGAGTCGAATGGGAGGTCAGTAGGCTTTGTTTATTCTGCATGGCACAGTGTTGGCAGTAACCGGTCTGCATGCCGTGCTCAGATCTTTGCGCACACAATCATGTCACACATGACATCTCCGCGCTTATTTTTGACCATCCAGTGCATCCACGGAGCGTGGCCTTCCCGATAATCGAGTACCAGCACTCTCTGTCCAAGTTTAAACGATCGTTTCTTTGCTTCATGCCGCTGGTTAAAACCTTGTTCCATTATGCGGTTTCTTACACCAACATAGGCTTCTAAACGCGGTACTTGGTACTTTATTGGTAACATCTTTACGATTTACCAGACACTCGAGCAGCGTTCAACTTTCTGGTGCCTACAAACATTTGCTTC